GGGCCCCCCCCCCCCCCCCCCCCCCCGGCCTTTCCTCAGGAGAGCCTGGAAAGTGCCTTGATGGGGACCCACCAGGAGCTGGAGATGTTCGGGAGCCAGCCCGCCTACCCAGAGAAGCTGCTGCATAAGAAAGAGTCCCTGCAGAACCAGCTCATCAACATCCGGGTGGAGCTGTCTCAGGCAACCACGGTAGGTAACCATGGTAACCAGATCGGGTCTGCACCTGCCAGGAGAGCCTCCCCTCCCCTCCCCTCCTGTCCCTGGCAGGGCTCCCCGAATCCCAGTTCTCCCCAGAGGGCCAGAGCAGGGTGCTCCTGGGGAGGGACACAAACAAAGACCAGAGCTCTGCCTTGCAAAGAGACAGCCGGTAAGCCAGGCTGCTCGCCCCACAGTCTCCAAGGAACTGGCGAACTTTCCACCAACTATACCTGCCCCAGGACGGTGTGCAGTCAAGGCCACTTATTTCCCCGGCTGCTCTGTCTTCTCCCCTGGAGAACCCGGACCCTGGCAGCAATGCTGCCGCCTGGTCATCCTGGTGGGCCCAGGGCAGACCCTCCCAGCTGACGGCCTGGGTAATAGCTCTCAGGGCAGCAGCAAAAGCCCCCGGAGAGCATGGCCCAGAGAGGAGAGCAAACCGCCAGAGGCACAGCCCTTCCCTCCGTCTCTTTTCCCTTTACCCTCCCCTTTCCATGGCCCGATCTGGGGGAGCAGGAGGGTGACGGCGCGATGCTCCCCCCTCCGGCCTGGCCACATGTCTGGAGAGGATGCTATTTTCTCTTACTTCGGTTTGCAGCAGGGCGGGCTGTGGCACCTCTTGTGAGGCTGGTGCTTGGCTGTCATTCGCATGTCGCAGGCCTGTGCACTCTCCTCCTGGCCCTCCCCAGATCTGCCGGCCTCGGGCCCCTGGCCCCCGGCCCAGTCGCAGGCTGAGGGATGCTAGGCGAGCTGCTTTCTCAGTAACCACTCCCCGTGCAGGCCCTGACCAACAGCACCACGGAGTACGAGAGCCTCGAGTCGGAGGTCTCTGCCCTGCACGACGACCTCTGGGAACAGCTCAACTTGGACATCCAGGTGACCAGGGCCCTGGGCAGGGGAGGGGGGCGCGGTCCGCATGTGCTATGGGTCTTCCCTTGTCCTTGTGGCCAGAAGAGACCAGAGTGGCTTCCTCTCCTGCTTTAGAGATTTCAGACTTAAGACGAGGAGTTGGTTTCTGAGACAAAAGACCAGGTTCAGGCCACCTCAAAGGGACTCTAAATTCCAGGATGAGGAAACGTGGGGTTCTTCTTCAGTTCCATCAAATGACAGGGAATGAGCCAAGGAGAAGCAGAGGAGCATGTTAGATGTCAGGTGTTGTCTGACTGAAGGATTGAACAGACATAAATATAAATACACAATCGATATAAACCTCCCTCGGGACATCAGAAGGGTAGGCAGTATGGGCTACACTCAGGCATTTAGGTAGGAAGAGACCTCCTTTCAGGGACTTGTTAAAAGCCCTGTCTGGAGGCAGCAGCTGGACACGCTGACCGTGAGCATCTTGTTCTCTGCCTCCCTCTGTCTTTGCTCAGCACACACCTCCGTGCCTCCTCTCTCGCTGGCGTTGCAAGCCCTGTTTCTCTGGTGTGGTTAAGCCCTGGTTTTCCTCCTGTTTCCTCTTGGTAACAGAACTTACCACCCTAGCCTTGCAGCTGGTTAGGTGGAGTGAGGCGAAGGCCTGGTCCGAGGACCCAGGTGGTCGGTGGGCGATTTTAGGAGGTAGGGGAGTGTGAGCAAGAGCACCAGCTCTTGGAGCAAACAGACCCAGATTCAGGTGGTGGTCGCACAACTTGCTCACAGGTGGCTGGGCTGAGTCCCTTCTTCTCGGAAGTGGGGACAGCTGCCGCCCTCGCCTCATAGAGCCGTGCGGCCAGAGCAGGTTAGTGTCTGCACAGCACTGAGCGCGGTGCCCGGGGTGGGGGTGCTAAATCAGAGGTGGCCATCACTTTTCAAAGAGTGGGTGCTGTCATCGAGTATAACCCATGAGCATTTAGGCATATGCTGGGGGTGGGCATTACAGAAGAGCTACCTGGAGCTGAAGAAAACCGGGAAACTGGAGCTCAGCCTGGAAAGTGGGCTGCCCTAGAATGTCCGCCTGCATGGCCTCCACGCCAGGACCTGTCTCCCCCAGGGGCTCTGGGGGCGGGTCCCCACTCTCTTTTGGTTCCGAGTCCTCAGGTTGACCTAAGGGGGCTCTTTCCTCTGATGACAGAGTCCTCTCCTTGGCATTCAGAACTGCGTTTCATAGAGGCTGAGGACACAGAGGCTGCCCATGAAAGCAGCGAATGTGCTGGAGGGTGTGTGTGAGTGTGTGTGTGTGTGTGTGTGTGTGTGTGTGAGAGTGTGTGTGTGTGTGTGTGTGTGTGTGTGTTTACACTCCCTCGTGCACAGGGCTCCTGCCTGCTGCTGGTTTAAGGGAGGTGGGGAAAGGGCTGGGACACTCCTCAGCAGTCACTTCCTTTGACCTGCTCTGTGGCTGTTGCAGAACGAGGTGCTCAACCGGCAAATCCAGAAGGAGATCTGGAGGATCCAGGATGTGATGGAGGGGCTCAGGAAGAATAACCCGTCCCGGGGCACAGACACGGCCAAGCACAGAGGTGGGTCCCTCCCCTGCCAGCCTGGGCCTCTGGCTTCACCAGGAGCGCTCAGTGCCCTGGCTCCTCCCACACCTGCGTGCTCACCCTCTAGCCCAGTGGTTCCCAACCTTCCTAATGCCGTGACCCTTTAATACAGTTCCTCATGTTGTGGTGACCCCCAATTTCATTGTTACAAATTGAACATAATTAAAGCATAGTGATTAATCACAAAAACAATACAGTGGTTCTCAACCTTCCTAATACCGCGACCCTTTAATACAGTACCTCATGTTGTAGTGACCTCCAACCATAAAATTATTTTTGTTGCTACTTCATAACTGTAATTTTGCTACTGTTATGAATCGTAATGTAAATATCTGATATGCAGGATGTATTTTCATTGTTACAAATTGAACATAATTAAAGCATAGTGATTAATCACAAAAACAATATGTAATTATATATGTGTTTTCCGATGGTCTTAGGCGACCCGTGTGAAAGGGTCGTTCGACCGCCAAAAGGGTCGCGACCCACAGGTTGAGAACCGCTGCTCTAGGCCAAGCATGTCAAACTCGTGACCGGGGGGTTTAAATAAATGAGGCATGCGGCCTGCCAGCCACAAGTTTGGCACGCTTGCTCTAGGCCCTCACTCTGTGCTCAGAACCAGCCACGGCCTCTCAGGGCTCCAAAGTCTTCCCCAGGGCCCCGGGGGTGGCGGGTGGGACACCCTTATCCTCCCCTCCCCAGAACAGACCGGATATACCACTCAGAGATGCTGTTGACCCTGATACCCAAGATTTTCTCCCCAGAAAAGGTCAAAGAGCAGCTGGGCATCCCCGGCCCCGAAACCCACGGGCCCCTGGGTGGTCTGAGGCCTCTACCTTAGAGTCTTCCTTCAGCCTTGGGCCAGCTTGCTTTGACATCCTCTCCCCTGTGCAGCAGCTCACAGCCGTTACCCAGCCTATATAGAAATCCCTCTGGCAGGCTCAGGGGACCCTCCCAAGTCCTTGAATCCTGCCCTGCCCTCTCCACCTACATAGCTCATCCATACCCCAGGCCACACCCCTGCCCACCCTCATCTTCCTCCTCTTGTTTTCCCCAAGGAGGCCTTGGCCCCTCGACCACCTACAGCTCCAACAGCCCTGCCAGCCCTCTCAGCTCCGCCAGCCTCACCAGCCCCCTGAGCCCCTTTTCCCTGGTGTCTGGCTCTCAGGGGTCCCCCACCAAGTCTGGGTCCAATGAGGTAAGCTGATGAAATGGAGTAGGCGGTGAACGGGGGAGGGAGGGCCAGGTCCTCATTTGCCTGAAACTACACAGATTCTGTGCCCCGTCCTCCCCAGAGGCCTGCAGTCCCAGTGCCTCTGCCTGAGGGGCCGCTCTCACCTCCAGTGTGGGACCTTCCCTCCCATTTCTCCTGTGCCTGCTCTCGTCTTCACCGGCATCCCTGGCCTCCTTCCGGAGCACCAGGACGGGGAGCAAAGATACTAAGCACTTGATCGGAATTTAAATCCAGGGTTGTTCCAGGGGGTGACAGGGTGAGGTCTGGGGGACAGTTTCCTAGTCAGTCGATCAGCAAGTGTTTACTGGCTCTATGGCGGGAGGGGGTGGCAGGAGGCCCTGTCGGGGCACCCCTGCATGCCCACGGCCTCCGCTCAGCCCAGCCCCCAGTGGGGACCAAGGCTGATAGACAGCAAACCAGCCTCAGGCACGTGGCGCTGCGTGTCTCAGTGCTGAACCACGTGGTTCAGACCGTAGATGTTGTGCTGTTCCAGAGAGGATGGGACTGGAACTGGGCCTGAGGCGTTGGCACAGGTAGAGGAACAGGCCGTCGCAGGCAGAGGGGCTGGGGAGAGCACAGGGACAGGGTGGGGAGGTGTCGGAGTGACGGTGAGGCAGTGAGGAGAGAACTTTGGAGAAGAGCTGGGGAGTGATGGGCGTGGTGTGCAGGTGGCTCAGGGAGGGGAGCCGGCTCTGCAGGCAGCTGTGTCCAGGCCACAGGTGGGAGTTTGGGTCCTGGGCCCCGGGTCTCCGCGGTGGCGTCTGCCTCTGCTAACGCTCTTTTCTCCTGCTCTCACAGCGCCTGCTCTCGCTCCTCCTAATGCTCTGGCTTCTCTCTGCCTCAGGAGCCCGGCCCACCGCGGCCCCCCCTCCCCAAAGCCTACGTGCCCCTGGAGTCTCCTCCCACCGTGCCTCCACTCCCTAGCGAGAGCCACTTCTGGCCATACCCCAACTCCCCTTCCTGGCACTGCAGTGGCGAGACAGCCAGGGGCCAGGTACCCAGCACCCTTGGGTCCTGGAGGGCAGGGGTGGAGGGAACGGGACAGAAGGCCAGGCGAGGGGCAAGGTGGGGCAGGGAGTCACTTCTCCGTGCCAGTGTTCACCCCCCGCACTGAATTTCTTCTGGGCCCTCTGTCTGGTGAAACTCTGGAATAAGGAAAGGGCTGGCGGGGACACTCACACGCCCTCTTTCCCCTCTTCGCTTTCTGTGGACAACGGGGAAATGAGTTGCTGTTCTACCCTGTGCCCTGGCTCCTGGGGGCCCCTGGCTAGGTGGTGGTATGGCCCCTCCCTACCAGCATGACCAGATGATGGGAATCAAGGAACCCCCACACATACTGGTCCTGTCCTTGTCCACCCCAGGTCCCAACCCCCCTTGCTCTCTCTGTCTCTGCCTCTGTCCCCTCTGGGGCTCACCACCCCCTGGAATATAAGGGTACAGGCCCCCTCTCCCCTGTTCTGGCCTCCCCTCTCACCTGGATCCCTAGTGAAGATCCAGGAGAGGCGTGCAGTTAGGCTTGGAAGAGGTTGCACGGTGAGTAAATAGTCCTGTGCCTGAAACTGGGAAACTCGTATTCTCGTCTCAGCTACTGGTGTGTGCATAGCCCTGAGGGTCTGCCCAGCGAGGTGGGCAGGGCCGGGGACGGCACTGCATTTCACAGGTGAAGGCAGGGTGTGTGACCTGCCCTGCCCTCCAGCGGGGCTGGAATGGAGATTTCTGAGCTCTGGCCTAGGCTTCTTTCTCTGTGGTCCTCACTGGGACTTAGATTCTTCAACTGCACAGAGGAGTGCGGGGTGCGGGGGGGCAGGCACAGAATGAAGCAGATGATGGCTGAGGTCCCTTCTGGTCTCATGATTCTGTGAGCCACAAGCTAAGTGCCCCTTTCCTGCCCCCAGAGTCCTGGTTCCAAAGCTCGCCTGGTTCTTTTGCTCAAGTCTTGGGTAGGATCCTCAGAGATCCTTGGCCTGATGGCCCTCCTCTCTGGCTCACAGAGAGTCCGCGCTCTTGGTGCTTGCCGAGGGGACGGGCCGGGTTGAGGGGCCTCCTGGAGGCGTGAGCCCTCCTTCGCCGAGGGCCTCGCCCTGGCCCAGCCTAGTGCCTCCCTGCCCACTTCACAGCTGGCACACGCAGCATAGCCCTGTCCCGGGTTGTCAAGGGTTTGCATGCCAACCATTGCTAAACAAAGAACTACCACCGGGGCCTAGTTCCTGGCAGTCACTCGCACATTAAACACCTCCTCATCCTTCCTTCCAGCCCAAGGCAAGCTATGACCCAAGCAAGAGAGAGTCCCACCAGACATCACCCCCGGACACGTCTAGGGACATCAGCCTCGTGCCTACCCGGCAAGAGGTGGAGGCAGACAAGCAGACAGCTCTCAACAAAGGTACCTCCTGCCCCATCTTCCCTGAAAAGTAAGGCTCAGGGTCAGAGAGGAGTGCAGGGCGGTGCTCACTCATACCCACGGAGTGCTCGCCCGCCCGGTCTGTCTTCTCCACGGGAGGTGGGGAGGTGAGACCGAGCCTTTCCAAGAAGCAGCCCGCCCCGTCTCTCCGCCTTCCTCTCTCCATGAGGCCCACTGGCCGCTCTGTCTCCCTGCAGTTGGCATTGTGCCCCCGCGGACAAAGTCGCCCGCTGAGGAAGAGGTGACCCCCTCAGGGGTGGTGAGGAGGAATGCTAACGGGCTCCCCAATGGCCTCTCTGCCCGGGTAAGTGCACTTGCAGGCTCTGGGGGCTTGGCGGGCCTGAGCCAGGCCAGGAGCCCGGGGGCCCTGAGTGTCCACCATCTGCCGCTCCTGTTCGAGAAACCCAGGGCTGGAGGCGGAAGACAGAATAAGCAGGAAGGCCAGCAGCCCCAGCCGAGGGGTCTTCTTCAAGGAGACGTGCCAAGGGACAGGAATGTGTGCACAATAAAGATAAAAAAAAGTACTGAACAAAATTATGACGATGAGACACAGGTGTGGCAGAAACCAGTGGTCAGAGTCGTGTGCTGGCCAGAGCAGTGTGTCGGGGTCCTGGGGCCGCTAGGAAAGGAGCAGAATGGCACAAAGTTGGTAGCTTACCCCACAGAAGTTTATTTTCTCACAGTCCTGGAGGCCAGAAGTCTGCACTGGAGACCCAGCCACGCCCCCCACTCCCCCACCCCAGCGGATGGTTGTTGCTTGGTGTCCTTGGCTTGTAGACACATCACTCCAGTCTCTGCCCGCACCTTCGCATCACCTCTTCCATGTGTCTTCTTGTCTCCCATGGGGACACCCATTATTGGTTTTAGGGTGGCCCTGATTCAGGATGATCTTGAGACCCTTAATTTAATCACACCTGCAAAGACCCCATTTCCAAATAAGGTCGCACTCCCAGGTCCTGGGGGTCAGGACTTGGACATAGCTTCCGGGGACCGCTATTCCATTGACTGCAGGCAAGCTTCCCAAGGAAGGGAAACCTTAAGGGATGAGGGCAGCTGAAAAGGCTGGTGGAGGACCTGAGCCTCTCAGAGCCTCACCTCCCCCCGCAGCAGGAGCGCCCCAAGAGCGCGGTGTTCCCGGGCGAGGGCAAGGTGAAGATGAGCGTGGAGGAGCAGATCGACCGCATGCGGCGCCACCAGAGCGGCTCCATGAAGGAGAAGCGGAGGAGCCTGCAGCTTCCGGCCAGCCCTGCCCCCGACCCCAGCCCCCGGCCAGCCTACAAAGTGGTAGGTCCTCCCAGCCACCCCCAGGCGTGGCCTGACAGTGGTCACCACTGCCTACTCCCGGGTGTGGGTGCGGGTGCGGCCAGCCTGGGCTGGAGTCCTGGGGGTAGGCTGGGGCTTAGAGAGGGAGGGGCCGGGGAGGACCTAAGCTGGGCACTGGGAGACCTGGGAGGCTTCTGCCCACCGGGCAAGGAGATCAATCCTGCTACAGGCGTTTCCTTTTTCTTTCTTTTTTTAAATGTATTTGTATTGATTTCAAAGAGGAAGGGAGAGAGAGAGATCAATGATGAGAGAGAATCATTGATTGGCTGCCTCCTGCATGCCCACATTGGATTGAGCCCACAACCCTGGCATGTGCTCTGACTGGGAATCCAATCGTGACCTCCTGGTTCATAGGTCAACACTCTACCACTGAGCCACGCCAGTCGGGCTGGGTGTTTCCTTTGTGTTTAAAGAAAACTCACTCACACACAGGAATGCCTTGATTGTCTTGGTTGAAACAAATTACATACCATTCAGTTATCAGAGGGCAGTACGCAATCCACCACCCACAAGTGGCCATCACTCACAACCGTTTCCAGAGCACTTGCTGTGGGCGTGGCACTGGGCTGAGTGTCCTGACGATCATCGTGCCAGCTCAGCGTTGCATGGCGCAGTCCAGTTCCCAGTCCCTTTCACGTTCTCCGCCTAGTCCTTTCAATAACTCGGGGCTAGGAACTATTATCCTTAGAGAGAGAGAAACAAAGCCACGAGAAATTAAGGGAGTCCTGGGCCACACAGCCATTAAGCGCAGAGCTGGGAGGAGCCCAAGGCATCTGCCTGATTTTTTCTTTCTGAAATATGCAAAAATTGTGACTCATAAACCCTGCCCTCAAACAGTTTACATTCCACTTGGTGGATTGGAACTTACATAATAAAAGGAAATGATTAGAGACACTGAGTGTAAGACACCGAACCAACTGCCCAAATATGTGCCACAGGAGGCGAACAAAGGGCACAGCGGGTGGGGGGACGAATGCTGGTGAGAAATGTTGATGAAGTCTTGCCTCCGGTCCTGGCAGGCGGGCAGGCTTCGGGCAGGCAGTAAGCAAGGTGGCTCTGCAGTGGGAGCCATGGGGTGGCAGCGAGCCGGGCAGGGACAGTGGGGGCATGCATGGTTAGGGCTGCCGGGAGGCACGGGTAGAAGTGGAGGTGCCCACGTCCCCAGGTGCGTCGTCACCGCAGCATCCATGAAGTGGACATCTCCAACCTGGAGGCCGCCCTGCGGGCGGAGGAGCCTGGCGGGCAGGCCTACGAGACGCCGAGGGAGGAGATCGCCCGGCTTCGCAAGATGGAGCTGGAGCCCCAGCACTACGACGTGGACATCAACAAGGAGGTGAGCGGAGTCCAGGGGGCGGGGCGGGCAGCGGCCCTGGGAGGGACGGAGGGAGAGATGACCATGGTCCCTCCACAGCTCTCCACCCCCGACAAAGTCCTCATTCCTGAGCGGTACATCGACCTGGAGCCAGACACGCCCCTGAGCCCCGAGGAGCTGAAGGAGAAGCAGAAGAAGGTGGAAAGGATCAAGACGCTCATTGCCAAGTCCAGGTAACTGGCCTGGGGGAACCTCCGGTTTTTCTGCCCCCCTGGCACCGAGGACACCAGCACTCCAACCCATGTCCGAGGGGACCCCAGCCTCCCCCAGAGTGGAGCGAATGGAGGCAGTGGCTCAGGGCAGCGATCTGGGCCTGGCCCTCCGGTGGGGCAAGGGGCTGCCCATGGTGCCCAGAGCACCGTGAGCTCACGCACATGCTCTCATCCGGACACACTGAGGGGCTGCCTCTGTGACTTCTCCCCTCCCAGGCAGCCCTAAACATGCACTTGAACCTTCTAATTCATTGTAAAGCATCGTGGGTAAGGGTCCCAACATGCGTTGTGCCAGGGCCCCTCATCCCTGGGGACAGCCTTGCTGGGGACCAGAGCCTGCACATGCCCTTGCCCCCCCCCCCAACCTCAGTCCACAGGTCCCCCCACAGGACATCCTGTCCCCCCACCATGTCTGTGTGTCTGTGCCTCCTCAGTATGCAGAACGTGGTGCCCGCCGGCGAGGGGGACCTTGTGGACGTGCCCCAGGACTCAGAGAGCCAGCTGCAGGAGCAGGAGAAGCGGATTGAAATCTCCTGCGCCCTGGCGACCGAGGCCTCCCGCAGGGGCCGCATGCTGTCTGGTGAGAGGGGCTGGGCCTCGCTCCGCCAGGGAGACGCCAGGGAGACGGCTGACCACGTAGGGGAGGAGGCACGGCGCTGTCAGGGGTCAGGGCTAGAGAGAAACAGGGCGCGGCAGGATGAGCATTTACTGGGCACCAGGTACCCTGCTAGGCTCAGGGCGCACAGAGGCCGGAGTTGCTGAGGTGCAGGAGCACAGAGCCGTGACGGCCCTCCTCGCCCCTGTATAGCGGGATGGCCACGGCCATGCAGGGAGCACAGGGAGCCACTCTACCTGGGCAGGTTGGGAAGCACAGAGAAAGGTGATGACTGACTTGACTGGGAAAGATCAAAGTATTTACCAGTTGAGGGGTGAGGGCCAGGTATTCCAGGGTGCCCTTCCCTTCCCCTTCTTTTTTGCTTTGTTAATCCTCACCCAAGGATATTTTTTCATTGATTTTTAGAGAGAGTGGAAGGGAAGGGGAGAGACAGAGAGAGAGAGAAATATCGATGTGAGAGACACACCTATGGTTGCCTCCCACATTGAGCCTGTGTCCAAGGTACGTGCCTTTGACCTGAATCGAACCCGGACCCTTGGGTCTTCGGGCTGAGGCTCTATCCACTGAGCCAAGCCGGCGAGGGCTCACTTCCCCTCTGGCTGCTAAGAAAAGATGAGTCTGAGGGGCTGACTCACACGGGTCCAAGGGCAGCAGGTCCCACATGGACACCGTGAGGTCAAAGTCAACAGGACTCGTTCTCCTTGGCCTGAGACATCGCCTGGAGGAGACGAGAGTATAATAGGCAAGAACGAGATGAATGAAGGCGGGAAGAATTAAAGGGATTCTGAACGGGAGCACGAACGGTGGAGGAGAGACAGTGTTGAGTCATGAAGGCTGGAAGATGAACTGCTGTCTCCCCTCAAGACAAGGTGGTTAGGATGGAGAGGGAGAGGAACAGAGGGGGCTTTGGGGCCGCTCAGGGGGGATGCCCCGGAAAGATACTGGGTTTGATGACTTTGGTCCAGGAAGCAGCGACGGGGCACGGGCCTCAGGTACAGCAGCCCCGGTGGGAGTCAGTGGAGGGGATGGCGTTTCATGGCGGCGTTTACGAGGGTTTGAGTTCTGGCTACCTGAGGCTCAAGCCCCTCCTCTGTAAAATTCAAATGAAGACACCGGTGTGGTGGTGTGAGGAACGGACACAGTGTGCGCTAGGCCCCTAGCACAGTGCCAGGCACTCAGTGCGTGCTCGGTAAGCTCCTGCCAGCTGGGCTAGTAGTGGTGGTGGTGATGGTGGTAGTTAGTACTCGTTGAAATAGCAATGGCTGACGTGGATCTTTTCAGAAACCAGCGGCTTTTAGGGTACAATGAGGATGGAAGGAAGAACCTACAGGCACTTGGGGTGTAGTGGACATTAGCTGGGTGTCCTGCGGAAGCCCCTGGAGATACTTCAGAGAGAGGCTACCCTCTGGGCTGGAGTTGAGGGCGAGGGAAACGCTGTAGCCAGAGGCAGCAGAACCAGTTTGGCCGCCAGGAGGCCCCGTCAAACCTTCCTGCAGTTCAGCTGTAAAACGAACTTGAACCCTCCAAAGATCAAATTCCACCCGCTCTGGGCAAAGGGAAACTTCCTGTTTCGAGGTTAGAGCACACAATATTGTTCTTAATCCTTCCCTCCGCCCCTGCCCCAGCCCCTGGCTCTCTCTCCTACAGTTCCCCAGCCAGAGGTCCCAGGGAAACAAAACCCGCCGGGCCTCTCAGGTTCCCTCCACACACACCGCTTACACTTCAGGGCCTGTGCACTGAGCACACGGTCCCTGGGTTTTGCCCAAACCCCAGCTATTTAAAAAATGGCTGTGGGAGGCCAGACCTCAGACTTCGCCCACTGTCCCCACCACCCGTAGTCTATGGTCCAGGTGCCCAGAGTGGCTGATCTGCCAGGCACAGCGAGGACTGTTCCTGGGCACACCTAGTGTGAGCAACGTCCATGCTGGGGGCCTGTGTGCATGGGATGCTGGGCACGGGCGTGAGGACAGTGCCTGCGTGTGGGTGTGCGGCACGGATGGTGTGGTCAGTGACGAGTGTGGCAGCTTCGGCACTAACACCCGGTGTGCATGGACACAAGTCCGCACTGCAGCGGAAGGCGTGGCAGTTTTCAGGTCATGGACATGGCATGAGGTCATGTACAGTATCTGAATCAGTATTGTTTGTAGACGCGCATGTATTTGTGTGTATTCCAGTGTGTGGTGTGTGGGGGAGGGAATGTTTGAGTACAAATATAGGAGTGTGTGTGTATGTGTGTACGTGTGTGCAAAATGTCTCCGGGTGTTGTGTGGAGACCGGTTATGTATGAGCACAGGTGTACATGGTAAGCTGTTGGCATGTAGGTATATTTGTCTAGGGCAGTGATGGCGAACCTATGAAACGCGTGTCAGAGGTGACACGCAAACTCATTTTTTTGGTTGATTTTTCTTTGTTAAATAGCATTTAAATATATAAAATAAATATCAAAAATATAAATCTTTGTTTTACTATGGTTGCAAGTATCAAAAAATTTCTATATGTGACACGGCACCAGAGTTAAGTTAGGGTTTTTCAAAATGCTGACATGCCGAGCTCAAAAGGTTTGCCATCACTGCTCTAGGGGGCCCAATATGGGTGGAGGTAGCGTTTGTGCACGTGTTCATGTGTGATTGGCTTTGTTTGCAGAACAGAGGATGATAAAAACGTTTGTGTATATTTTGTGCACAGTGTATATATTGCAATATTTGTGAACATCTGTCTGCGTGGGGTGTGGGGGGAGGTCTCATGAACGTGAGTGTGTGTGACTGGTTATTGGTGCGTGCAGATGTGGCAGGACTTGTGAGCACAATTATAATACCACATCTGTCCAGTACATACCTGCTGCATATGTGAGCTTTATTTCAATGGCTGTATTTCTAATATTTCTCTGCCTTTTTAAAAAGGTTCTATTTGACATAATTAGTCTTGCTTGCTCTTACTGCTTTAGTGTCATTAAAAATAGCCTTACTTAGCTGGCCTCTTTCAAGGGTTGCCCTGAGGGGTTTCAAATGGTTCAGACCTGTTTGTAGCTACGTTAAATGCTCCCAAGCTGTCACACTTTTAAAGTTATGTCTACTTTCTGCCAAAGATTTTCTCTCTTCGGTTGGGCCTTCTTATGGATGTCATGGGTCCCTCAATTCCTCTTTCTTTTCTAATTTTCTTGTTTTCACTCTCCCACCGGCTGGAACCCCAGCCAGTCAGCACCTTCGAGTCGTGTGTAACTCAGGGTCCCTGGACTCCAAGGAGCGCCTCCCCGAGTAACTGGAAGAACTCCCTGCATGTACATTGTAACATCCATTTGGCTTCCTTGAGACGGTCCTTGCTTAGCTTTTGAGTTTTTGACTGTTTTAGAAACCGAGGTTGCTAGAGAGCTCACCATCGCGATGCAGACGTGCACAGGAATGTGTGTTTTGAAAGCATCTGTGAATGCGTTTGAATGTGAAGTTATAGGTGTGCTGAGCCATGTATGTGTGTGCGCGCACGAATCTGAGTTGTGTGCAGTAAGGAAGGATACGGTTTAGCTGCATCCCGTGCACAAAGTCCGTGCTGTGTGTGGGCAGACACGACTTCCTGCTCCGTGTCTTCGGTACATGTGTGTGGGTGTGCACATAGGTGATGGGCGGTGCGCTGGCCCTGTCTCCTGCACAGGGCAGGGAAGGTGACGAGGTCCAGGGCAGGCGGGGAGCAGGGAGCGGAAGTTTAATGCCAGGATCCCTCTCAGAGTAAACGTGAGACCCTGGCGGGGCCTGGCTCTGCTCTGAGCCGCAGTGAGGACATTTGCTCTGCTCCCTCCTGCCTCGCAGCTGGGCTGCGGGTGCACATGGGCCAGGATTGCATAGAGCTGGTCCCTAACAATGCAACGTCTCGTTGTTCTCGACATGGAATAATGATGACAATAGAGTAAAATCCCATTGATTCCAAGTCAGCACCTTAAGGCTCGTCGATTTGTTCAGGGGTCGATGGCAGTTTGCCGTCACTGGATTGTGCAGAGAGTCACAACCAGCAGGGCACACATTTCTTTCCTTTTTTAAAAAAATACATTTTTATTGATTTCAGAGAGGAAGGGAGAGGGAGATAGAAACTTCCATGATGAGAGAGAACCTCTGAGCCTGCAACCCGGCATGTGCCCTTGTGTGGAATCGAACCTGGGACCCTTCCGTCCACAGGCCAATGCTCTTTCCACTGAGCCAAACCAGCTAGGGCAGGGCACAGTTACCAGAACTCGCTCTCAGCCTCTCAAAAGCCTCCTTTTTAAAGGAATCAGTTAACATGGTGATCACCTCACTTCGATCATCATAAGGGGGGGCCTGTGGTTTGGATTAGTGACTTTACTGCGCTGCTAATCATTAGCAGAGTGCTATCCCCCTAGGAAAGGCGCCACCCCATTCGCTGTGCACATTATGGAGGTTTGTGCCAACTTCCCCATTGTTGGTGGGAGGGGAGCCTTGGCCCCGGAGGCCAGGCCTGGCCCCAGCCGCAGCCACACTGGGTCCCAGCAGAGCCTGGATTTCGCCAGATCTGCCCTGGGGCCGTGTTCTCCTCCCCAGCGCCCTGACAGGCCACTCTGCCTCAGCTTGGGCAGGTCCCCAGGCTCCGCTGTTCTCTCTGCTTGTCGCCTGCCCTGCTCTCTGCCCTCTGGGGCAAGACCTGCCTGCTCCCCACCCCCCCCATCCCCCCCATTCACCTCCCTGTTCATTTCTGTTTCCAGTGCAATGTGCCACCCCAAGCCCTCCCACCTCCCCTGCCTCCCCGACTTCACCAGCCAACCCCCTCTCGTCTGAATCCCCACGGGGCACCGACAGCAGCCATGCCATGCGGGTCTGAGCTTGGACGTAAGCACTTTTCTACTGTATTTCCTCCACCCCAGGGAGGGGGACCCCTGCCCTCACCCCCATTGAGCCATCTGCACCCTCTCATTCCGGCATGGCTTCTCCCCTCCGCCCGGTGCCTGGTCGCTCTCCCCCGCCACCCCGCTGCTTGAGCCCGGTGTCCCCGGACTGGGGCCGGCTGGCAGGGCGGCTGCTTGGAGCTGCCACGCCAATGCCATGGGCTTTGCTTCTCCAGAAGCAGATGGAACAGAGCTGAGGCCTCCCTTGTCCACTGTCCGGAGGGGACTTCCCAGACACCCTCCCCTGGAGCTCCTGTGAGGTCCACAGCCTCAGGAGCACCCAGAAGCCATTTCGCCCAGATCTTACTGATCCCAGACCTCACTGTAAATTCAAATAACGTCAGGCTCTCTAGCCAAAGGCTGTGCCCGTCCTTCCCCCCAGCACAGGGCGCTCAGTGCCAGGCGAGCAGAGAGCACTTGACTGCTGTCTGTTTCTCCTCTCTTGGGGTGAGGGAGGGGCCGGCCCTCGAGGTCTGACCAGAGTCTCGCTCCTGGGAAAAGTGTCTGGAGTCTGCCCTGTGCGGCCCCTTTCTCACTGATGTCCCTCTTCTTCAGTGCAAGCCCTGGCGGAGGCCACCGCTGCGAAGCTCCACAGAGCCACCTTCTGAAGCCCTGCCGTGAGGCCCCGGCCCCCTCCCCGGCCCAGCCCCCCTGCTCTCCTGGGAAAACTGCGAAGAGCCAGGCTGAGGGGCCAGGGCTGCTGCCGAGCGGAGAACGGAGCACGGATGCTTCGGCCCCAAAGCCCTCGCTGATCAGACGAGGTCCCTCTGGTCCTGAGCCTGGGCCTGAGATGGAGCAGAAAGCATCCTGTCTGATGCCCAAGTCACAGGACGCCCAGGCCTGATGGCTGGGGTGGTGATGGCCCTCCTGGAACATTCCCTGATGGAGAAGACGCCCTGGTGGGGAAGATGCTCTGGACCATCTTAGGTTAGGACGAGAGGTGAGGAGCAGAGGGACACCTGCCTCTTCCCACCCTCCTTGACACCGAGGACAGCACCTGCCATCATCCCTCCCCGTCAGTCCCCACCCCACTGTGGCCCCAGCTGTGCCCGGGGCTGTGATCCCTGCTATGGGTGCCCTTTGCGGTCCCGTGGAGACTAACCACCCTGTCCGAGCCAAAGACAAGATGACAAGAGATGGGGCGAGGCGCCTTGGCTCCCCGGGGGACGGGGCAGGCTGGGATAGAGAGCAGGTCTGGGCAGTGTCTGGGGAGGTTGGGAAGGGGGAGGAGAAGGAAGGGAGGTCCTAGGAAAGGAAGGGAAAGAAGAAGCAGGGCTCATTCGCAAGTAAGAGGACAGAGATGGAGAGAGGATGGGAATGGTTTCCCGGGGTGAGCCTTAGCGAGGTGCCAAGTCCCGTGCCACACTGTCGGCTTGGCCCTTCCCACCTTGTCCCCAGGCCGATGCCGAGGCCCCAGGAGGCCCCACCAGTGAGCACACGGTGGCCTTCAGCTGAAGTGCTTGGCATGGGGGTGGGTGGGGATGAGGGGGCTGGGTAGGACAGTCCGGGACACACAGGGCCCTGTGTGGGCCTGGGCCTGGTGTCTGCCTCCGGTACTGGGCTGGGGGCGCAGAGAGAAGGATCTGTCTTACGCAGGGTGTGGTCAGCCTTGGGACCTCTCCTCACCATTTTGGCGGCATTTTCTGGCATGTGCTGTGGGCCAGCTGCCAGTGTGCCCAGGGAGAGGGAATGAGCCTTCAGCTGGGAGGCCAGATGCCAGGACCCCGCCGCACACCCCCAGACAAGGACCGGTGGAGGCTGTACCAAGGACTCCCTCTGGCTGACTCTTTCGGGATCCACCTGACAGGGAGGCCAGTGCGGGAGAGACAGAAGCAAACTCATTCTTCCTCTGCTCCGCCCACCATGAGATGAATGTAGCCAGAAGGAGGGAGGAGAGAGAGTGCGGCTGGACAGTCTGGCTCCTAGGCCTCCTCTTTGCAAGAGTTGCTGCCTGAGACTCCAGCCTGGCCTTCAGCCGCCCTAAGAACAACTCCTTTATCTCCCCCCAGTTCTTCACTCCTTCACGGCTGGGGCAGTTACTGGTTCATATGCAAGTAAAGGTGACAATTCATTCAACAAATATTTATCGAGCACCGTTTATGTACCAGGCACTGTCCTAGGTGCTTAAGGATAGTCGCTTCTGAGGGATTACAGACGAGGGGGGGGCGGGCGTTCCACTTGTCTTCACTTGTGGCAGGTTTTTGGCTACATTTCCCATCATTAGCTCAGCTCAAGTATCGCAAACGGTCCTTTCTCCCCCATAGACTGGCAGGTGGGGTTGGCTCCCAGCTCTTCCTCGTTCCCGCACCTTTCTCCATCCACAAGACACAGATTTTTTAGGGCCTTCCATGCCTTCCCCTTCCTTTATCTGTCTCTCCTTTTTTTAAAGTGATATTTTTAAGAAATACATGGAAAATACCAAGGATCAATGTCTGCTCGTCTGTCACCTCTCTCACCTCCTATTTCATAAAGCTGGCCCTTTATGTTGCTTTACATGCCTTAATATATGTTTTATGAAGATTATACATATTATAGGTTTATATGTAAGATACATATTGGTTTGGGTGTCGGATCCTTGCCTAGAACTCCTGCCCAGGCCTGTCTTCTCTCCTTTACTCTCCACGCCACTCCTAGCATGTCGCGTCTATACCCCATGCCTTGGATCCAAAGAAGGGGAGAGAGAGACTTATTTTAAGACAGATCTATTTTACGCTTTTATTATGAAAGCAAATCTATTTTCAAATGTGCAATGTCTAAATGGAACTGGCCAACAACGGGAGGAGACTGGGGTGACTGCCTCTAGGTCCAGCCTCCACCCCGCCCCCCTCCCCCAGCTGCTCCCTCCCTCCCACTGCCCGGTCTGCAGAGGGCTGGTCCCCAGAGCCCACCCCAGAGCATCTCCCCAGGGCAGGACGTGCTCTCAGAAGTCCTGGTCTGAGGATTTGGTTACACTGACCACTCTTGATGACCCGCTAGAGTTCTCGGGTATGAACCTATGGAAGAAAGCGTTTAAGTGTGTGCACAGGGGCACCCACGCAGGCCCCTCCCAGCGATGGGCTCCCAGACCTCCCCCATCACCTGCTGCAGGGGGCAGGCAGTTTCATAGCCTCCTGTGCCAAACACGAATGTCAGTCTGTCCCTTGATGGACCCAGGATATGGTGCAAAGGCCAAAGGAAGTGGTCTGGGATCCCTGGCCCTTCAGCGCAGACGTGTTTGAGTTCCTTGGACGACTTCCCACACTCCTTTTCACGTGGCCTCTCTCTGCTCTGGGTCGCGTCGATGGCACCTGTTATACTCTGAGACCTTCCTTCTGGGGGCTGTTCCTAAGGGCCTGGCACCTCGGTCTGGCATCCAGACTGCGGGGTCCGCTTCTGGGCTGAGGAGGGTCCCACGGACAATGTAGATCTCAGCCTTGCCAGGAGCCGCTGCCCCTGGGCTGCCGGACTGAGGCAGCTCAGTCTTGCAAACTGCTTGTCCACTGGAAGTGGGCAAGGGGCTCTTGCCTTGTATGGATCTGGGCAGGATGGGAGTCTTTTGTCCAGGTCTGGAATCGGGGGTTTGGGACCTGGTGCAGAGCTCCCGGCCAGCATTGGAAGCCTGACCTGCCCGCTTTACCACTTACCGGCCCTGCGTCCAGCGTCGCGCATCCGGCTGCGGATGGATGGGGCCCAGATGGAGGCCCAGGGCTGAGACACCCACCTGGGTGCACTCCTGGTTACTGATCTAGAGCCTTCCCAATTAGCACATGACCTCCCTGATCAATAACCGAGAGGCTGCAATCAGATATTGCTACTGTCACTTTAAAGATTTTCTGAGGTTGCAAGCTGTGCACACTAGCTCTTCTGCCTTGGCGAGAGGTGTGTTCTTGGGGCAGGGCTGACTATAGCAAGAGGAACCCAATTCCTTTCCCCTTCAGGCACCCCCACCTGGAAGCTCTTAAAACTAAGGGAAAATATGAAATATACATACCTATATATATATATACATATATCTATTTATGCACATATTGGGGCCAATCTGATTTGCTAGTATTAGACAATAAACTATACAAGGAACTGTCTGATCTCAGTGTCTTTATTTAGCATAAAAGTGACCTTAGAAGAAGAGTTCAGGTTAGTTAGACAGCATCTCTGCCAGGGGACCGGCAGCTATAGCAGCCCCCGGGCATCTTTCTAGCCGAAGCCCCTCCCGGGGAGGGGGCACCTGCCGGACAGGCTAGAGTTGGGGTCCGCACTCAGCAGCTGAAGAGCCCCCGTGAGCTCCGAATTTGTATATTGTAAGTTTGTATAAAGCCAACACCGGAAATAAAATGGTTTGTACAAGTGGTGCGTGTCTTGCCCTCTGTGTCCATGTCTGCCTGTGGCTGGCCTTGGGGTTCATGGCCATTTACGGTGGGTCTGGGGCCAGGCTTTCCCGAAGAGCAGGGCGGGTTCAAAGCACATGGACCGCCACCCCCACTCCCTCTGCCCCCAGCTGCATCTCTCCTTCCCTCCCAGGCAGCTATCCCAGAGTTCTCGACAGAGTGACACCTCCCTGCGCCCCGGGGATGATGCTACGCTGCCAATACCATCATCTTCTTGGCTTGGGTGACCCCAGATCAAGGCTTGTGCTTAGGTCTGTATACCGGCGGCATCAGACGCTCCAGGCCCTGGAACCTCCCTTGATTGGGTCTCTGAGGCTGAGGGTAGGACTGTAGGAGAAAAGTTATTCTTAGCCTTTCTCGGTGACCACGATGCCCCGTATTTCTGCTGTAAGGGACAAGAAGGCATATGATTGGGCAGGGGGGCTGGGGGCATGTTATCAGAAAGGACACTCAAATTCTTTGCATCCAGCCTCAATGCCTTTGGTCCATTTCTCTTGGTAGGAACTCGGTGCTTATCGGTTATTGGCACTCAGTGTGAAAGACTGAACTAAAGCTTCTCAGTTTGAAATCTTTCTGTGAACAATCAGAGTCCGGAAGCCCTGTAAATTCTGTGGGGTGGGGGGTGGGGAGAGAACATGAACCCAGGCTGGGGCCGGCCCAGCTTGCGTGAAGCAGGATGTCTGGGGGGAGAGGGAGGTGTCGGTGGTTCAGGGAAGAGAAGAACATTGAGAAAGAGGAGACGGGAAGGTGAGCTTCCTCTAGTTGCCGATTTTGCCTTGGGCTGGTTTTAATGGCTGATTTTGAATCCTGGGCACCTGTCCTCATCCCTAAAGGGCTAGTAGAGTCGGTACAAATAAAGTGACTATTTTGGGGACTTTGTAACATCCCGGGGAGCACTATAGACCCTGATATCCTTGGTGAATCGGGGAGAATTGGGACCAGATGTAGGCTCAAGACCGAGGCCTTAGGGCTGGGAAGGCGTAGTGGAGAACTTGTCTGTTTCGGGGCTGCCTCGGTATCTGCAGCCCCACCCAGGCCAGAGCCCGCGGCTTGGAGAGGAGGAGGCATGTGGGAGCACCACGGGCACCACTGTACCCACCAACAAGGCCGGTTCCTCTCCAGGGATGATGCCCACAGGTCCCTGTCTGCCCCACCTCGGGGCCCACGCAGCCCTCAGATGGAGCCAGGCTGGGGCTGTCAAGTAAAGCAGCAACTAGCAGAAGGCCCTTTCGGAGCGGTGCTCTGACTGCGCGGCCATTCATTCCTAAAGAGGGCGTGTCAGTGCCAGGAAGGAGCCGGGCTTCCACCTGCTGCCGCCGTGGAACCAGGCCACCTGCACCTCCCATCCCGCGGCCTCCAGAGAAGAACTGGCCCCACGTCGCTAAGACGGATCCCAGAGAAGATGATGTCAGGCTCATCTCCTCCTCGGCTCCTTGTAGCACCATGAAGACTTGCACAAGTCACTACGATCCTTGGGTCTCAGTTTCCTCATCTGTGATATGGGGATATTAATACCATCTTATAGAGCCCTTGGGAAGTTCCAATGAGAAAACAGAAGAAAAACACTGTTTGAATGCGCCCAGCCGGCGTGGCTCAGTGATTGAGCATCTACCTGTGAACCAGGAAGTCACGGTTCCATTCCCGGTCAGGGCACAGGCCCAGGTTGTGGGCTTGATCCCCAGTGTGGGGCGTGCAGGAGGCAACCCATCAACGATTCTCTCTCATCAGTGATGTTTCTGTCTCTCCCTTCCTCTCTGAAATCAATAAAAATATACATCTATTAAAAAATAAGCTTGAATTCACTTACAAATATCGGGGGTGGAGGATGCTGCTGTGGAGGTCGCTCAGCTGCCTGCAGGGATGAGGGGAGACGGAGAATGTGTCCCGAGGTCTCCCCTTTGCTGCAAGATGTCACCAGGGCTCCTGCCGTTCAGCCCTCCTTCCCTTGTCCAATTCGACTCCTCCAGCCCCAGGCCCAGGGCACTCCCCCAGGCCTTCACCACGCAGCCAGGCCACAGGCTGAGGGCCAGCCCCAGCCTTCCAGGGCCTGCATCCTCCTCCCAGGGGTTGCCCACGTAAAGGGGCTCCTCTCAGGAGGGTGGACAGTGGGCAACCACGCTGGGCCCAGCTCCAGTGCCCAGTGCTGCCATCTGGGACTCGGGCCAGGAGGGCCCAGATCCAGGAGAGTTTGTTCTGAGCTCACAGGTGAGCTCCATGGTGGGGAGAGAATTCAACGCTGCTGTTTGCTCACCCATGGGAGCAGTTTAGAACCACAAGTTCGATGAGAGAAGTCTTCCATAGAACAGTATTTGTTAGTGTATTAATAGCAGAAACATTAATGACAACAGTAATTGTATAACTATCCGAGAAGACTAATAACAATGGCTCATTTAGTGTGTGCCAGGGCCAGTGCCCGGTCCTCTGCCCATCGCATGAATTTACTCTGACCCTCGTTATAGCTCTATGTGAAAGGTACTGTCGTTACCCAAGGACCTGGGGCACAGAAAGGACACAAAATGTCCAGGTCTCGGGGACCTAGAATGAGGCCCGGGGTGCTCTAGAGCCTAAGCCAGGGGTCCTCAAACTTTTTAAACAGGGGGCCAGTTCACTGTCCCTCAGACCATTGGAGGGCCGGACTATAGTTTAAAAAAAACTATGAACAAATTCCTATGCACACTGCACATATCTTATTTTGAAGTAAAAAAACAAAATGGGAACAAATACAATATTTGTATTTGCATGTGGCCTGCGGGCCGTAGTTTGAGGACCCCTGGCCTAAGCTCTTAACTTACCAGTGGTTTCTTTTCTTTTTTAAAATATATTTATATTGATTTCAGAGAGGAAGGGAGAGAGAGAGAAACATCAATGATGAGAGAGAATCGTTGATCAGCTGCCTCCTGCACGTCCCCTACTGGGGATCAAGCCCGCAACCGGGGCATATGCCCTTGACCAGAATCAAACTTGGGACCCTTCAGTCCGCAGGCTGATGCTCTATCCACTGAGCCAAACTGGGTAGGGCAACTTACCAGTGGTTTCAATGAGGGTGACACCACCTGGAAATTGGGGAAGGGGGGCCTAAGGGGCAAAACTCTTGCTGGCGTTCAGTGGCGGCAATGCACAGGCAGATTTCCACACTAAGTCTGGTCCTGTGTCCTGCGCACCGTTATAACATGCAAGGGGCCCACACAGCTTCCGTATGAGTTGTGCAATTCAGAACAGTACTGAAGAGTTTTTATAAGCCTCTAAGTTTTTTATAAGTTTCATGAAAGCTCAATAAGTTAGGAGATGGTTATTAAGGAGCAGGCACTTAAATGGAATAAAGACGTTGTCTCAAAATTATTGAATAATCTACCGCCCGCATTGCCTACACAATCCATTATAACGTTTCAGCCCTGTATGTCTGGTTGAAAATGACTCCAATGCAGGAGGTTCTTGCTGAATAAGTAGAGACTGAATGTAATATACATATTTAACAGAGGAGATCTGAGAGAACCAAACAGCCTTAAAGCAAAGTTACTTGAAATGCGGGGGATCTCTTTGGATCTCTTGGATAAATGTTTTTAGAAGTTATTTCCTATTATCGCTAACCTGTGTATTTTTAGAGTTTGCAGCCCAGGAATGCACACCTATGTTGTCAGGATTGCCTGTGGAGTTGTTTGGGGGCGTTGCCTGTTGGTTTTTTATCTTCCTCTCATACTGTCCCAGGGCTCCACATGCAATTGCTTTGAACCACTTATCTCACCATTTCTCTTTCCAATCCATCCTCTATTCCCATCCCCTATCGGAAATATGTGAGCTCCAAGGCCTTGAAGATCCTCCAGATGGAATTTTACCTGAACACACGGCGGCGTTTCAGGACGGAGAGCTGTGTGTCTGTGATACGCCACCGTTTCCCCATTCCCTGCCGTGACACAGGGAGCGAGGACCAGCGCCTGGGCGTTCACGCTGCCTCCTTCTGCTCCACGTGGCCCTCCCTCACTTGCCTTGCATTCTCGTCCCTACTTAATTTAGGTTCTATCCCTCTTTCTCTTTTTATCTGCAAGGACATCCGGTCTGTTCTTACCCACCTAGCATTCATTTCTATTCTAGTATTTACTCCCTGTTACTCTTGTGGGTTTGTTTTAAATTACATAATGGCTCTAGTCTTCTGTTTCCCGTAAGTTCGAATCTATTTATTATAAGCAGGTGCAAGCAATCTGCCTACGCCATTTATGTCTTCCGGTAAGTCTTGCCTGTGCATTTATATATTGAGAGACATTGTGTTTTATTAGACATTATTTTTCTTTGTTGCAACTAGCTTTACTTGCATTTGTATAAAGGATGTCTGTAGATTAGCCATGTCATCTGTGGACTTCATTTCAGGGGAGAGGGGACATTCTAAAAGGGATGCTGGCTCTCATGGGGCTGAGGACCACTGCTCTACAGTGGGAGGAAGGTGTTCGGAGCTCCCCACCCCTCTCTCTTCAGGCCCAGAGGGAGGAAAGGATGCACCCGTGTCTGCTCACCTGCTGGGTAGACTGGATGGAACCAGGCTTCCTCGGCAGTCCAGCCCTCCCCCAAGGCCAAATTCACCTTTTATCTCCCGTAGCTCAACCCCACAGTCCAAAGCTGGGGAAGAGGAGGTGGAGCCCTTGTGTCTAACTCCGTCTGGCACGCCCAGGAGACCAGCAGCAACAGGTTTTACTCAGTTGCTTGGCGCCCCCTAGGGTATAGCCTGGGTACTAAGCACAGAACAAGCCAATGGTATACAAGATGAATTTCGTACTTTTCCAAAGAGAAACACAGATGCCAACTCTTCCCACACACACTCCAAACCCAGTCAGGAGCCTGGGCACTCCTTGGTCTCCGTTCTTTTATGTACAGTCCACGCTGTGCCGAGGAGTAGAAAGCACTGAACTCGACCTGAAGGCAGGGAGGTGGGAGGAGAGGGGACCCTATAAGTCAGGTGGGATATGAGATGC